GGAGTCTTTTTTTTTTTTTTTTTGAGACAGAGCGTCAAGCTGTTGCCCTGGGTAGAGTGCCATTGCATCACAGCTCACAGCAACCTCCATCTCCTGGGCTCAAGCGATTCTCCTGCCTCCACCTCCCAAGTAGCTGGGACTACAGGCACTTGCCACAATGCCCGGCTATTTTTTGGTTGCAGACGTCATTGTTTGGCAGGCCTGGGCTGGATTTGAACCTGCCAGCTCAGGTGTATGTGTAGCTGGCACCTTAGCTGCTTGAGCCACAGGTGCCGAGCCAAATTTGAGGAGTCTTCAGTCACTACTTTCTCAATTTTTTTTTTGTCTCTCTCTCTCTCTTTTCTGGGATTTCCATTACAGGCAAGTTAGCATTCTTGATACTATTGCACGGGTTTTGAGGCTCTGTCCATTTTTCTTTATCTCTCTGCTTTTCAGACTGAACAATTCCTATGGATCTATCTACAAGTTATCTGTTTTTCTATCTTTAATCTGTTACTGAGACTGCTACTACATTTTCCAATTGTTTTATTTCCAACTCCAGAATTTCCAGTTGGCTCATTTTTAACAATTTCTCTGTATTAATATTCTCCATTTAATAAGTTAATGTCATCATACTTCCTTTAATTTGTAAAAACTGATTCTCTTTTTCTTTAGTTCCTTGAATGTATTTATGATTGCTGCTTTGAAATCTTTGTCTGCTAAGTCTATAATACAACACACTCCTTTCTCAGGAAAAGTTTTTTTTTTTTTGCAATTTTTGGCCGTGGCTGGGTTTAAACCCACCACTTCTAGCATATGGGAATAGCACCCTACCCCTTTGAGCCATAGGCACCGCCCTCAGGAAAAGTTTTTATTGGTTGCTTTTTTCCTTACTACAGGTTACACTTTCTAGTTTCTTTGCATTTTGATCATGTTTCTGTTAAAAACTGGACACTTTAGATAGCATACTGCAGCAACTCTGGATTCTTTTTTTCCCCTGAGGGAGTTTTATTGTTTTGTTGTTGTTTGTTTGGTAATTGCTTAGAAAGAAATCCGTCTTTCCTACAATGTGTGACCACTGATGGTTCTGTTAAGTATTTTTTCTTATTTTTATACCCTGGCTTCCTAGGAGTCAATCTTAGTCAATCCTAAGTCTTCAGAGTCTAAATAATGTTCAGCCTAAGGAAGGCAGCCCTTTATTCTGATGAATTTGTATGTGGGCTGGGGAGAACATTTAGAGTTCAGGCTCTTTACTTTTGTCTCTGTGCACACACATAAGTTCCACTGGTCAGGAATATGCTGTTAGCTTGGGCCCATTCTACTCTCTGCTGCTCATGGGCACAGCCTGTAATCAACAATCTGTAGTTCATAAAGTTCCTTGTGCTGTCTCACCTCCAGGAATTCCCTGTTAAATCCTGCACTGGTTCATAATTTAAGGCTACCAGAGCCACTGGCCTTTATTGTCACTTTGTATTTTGCAAACAATAAAATGTACCCATTTTAAGCAGACAATTACAAAATTTTACAAATGTATACAGCTGCATAAACATCACCCCAAGCAAAATATACATTTCCATAACCCTTCAAAATTCCTCCATGGCACCTGTCTCTGTAGTCAATTCCACCCTTCCTTCTCATAGGCTTCCGTTTTTGGCCAGGGCTGGGTTTGAACCTGCCACGTCTGGCATATGTGGCTGGTATCCTACTCCTCTGAGCCACAGGCACCACCTGTTTTCTTTTCTTTTTTGAGACAGAGTCTCATTCTGTTACCCTGGGTAGACTGCTGTGGCATTATACCTCACAGCAACTTCAAACTCTTGGGCTTGAGCAATCCTCTTGCCTCAGCCTCCCAAGTACCTGTGACTACAGACCATGCCACAATTCCTGGTTGGTTTGTTTTTCTTTTCTTTTTTTTTTTTTTCTACTTTTAGTAGAGATGGGGTCTCAAGTTTGCTTGGGTGGTATTCAACTCCTGAGCTTAATGGATCTACCCACCTCACCTCCTAGAGTGGTAGGATTACAGGCAGAGGTCTGTCATAAAAGCTTTCCTGTTATACAATTTGTAATACTGGATTTATACAGTACATGCTTTTTTGTAACTGGACTCTTTCACTTAGCAAGTTTTTGAGTTTCACTCATGTTACTGCAAGTTTTATTCCCACAATACTTCCCAGAAGCCCATACTATTACATTGTATGAATATAACATGACTTGTTTACCTATTTGATTATTTCCAGTTCTCAGCTACAATGAATAAAGCAAACATAAATGTTGTGATTCTTTTCTCGGTCTGTAGTTTGCCATTTAATTTCCTTAAGAGATTCTATCAATGAATAGAAATTTAAAATTTGACTAAGTCCTATTTATCAATTTTTTTTTTTGAGACAGAGCCTCAAGCTATCATCTTGGGTAGAACATCATGGGAATAGCATCACAGCTCACAGCAACCTCCAACTCCTGGGCCTAAGCGATTCTCTTGCCTAAGCCTCCCAAGTAGCTGGGACTACAGGTGCCCACCAATATGCCCAGCTACTTTTTGGTTGTAGTTGTCATTGTTTGACAGGCCTGGGCCAGATTCAAACCCAACAGCTCTGGTGTATGTGGCCAGAGCCTTAGCTGCTTGAGCTACAGGTGCCACCCCCTACTTAACAATTTTTTTTTTTTTTTTTTGAGACAGAGCCTCAAGCTGTCGCCCTGGGTAGAGTACCGTGGCATCACGGCTCACTGCAACCTCCAACTCCTGGGCTTAAGCGATTCTCTTGCCTCAGCCTCCCAAGTAGCTGGGACTACAAATGCCTGCCACAACAGCTGGCTATTTTTTTGGTTGCAGCTGTCCTTGTTGTTTGGCAAGTCCAGGCTGGATTCAAACCTGCCAGCTCAGGTGTATGTGGCTGGTGCCTTAGCCGCTTGAGCCACAGGTGCTGAACCTATTTATCAATTTTTAATGGGTCTAGTGCTTCTTTTTTATCTAAAGAAATCTCTGTCTATCCCAAATTTGAGAAGATTTTCTCAAGTTTACTTCTACAAAGTTTTACAGTTTTAGCTTTTATGTGTAGGTTTATAATCGACTTTACGTTAATTTTTGAATATTGTGAGGTAAGGGTGGAGATTAATTTTTTTCACACCAATTTGAATTTTTCTAGCACCCAGTCCTCAAAAGATGAACTTTTTTTCACTGAATTACATTGGCATTTTTGTGAAAATCCAAATATATCCAAGCTCCTTTCTATGTACTTTCTCTAGTCAATGACTAATGTAGATCTATGCTTGTATTACTTTACTGTCCTGATGACTGTTCCTATACCTTGAAATCAGGTAGTATAAGTCTCCCAACTGCATTTTGGTTTTAAATTTGTTTTTGTTTTTTCCCAACTGCATTCTTTACCAAAACTAATTTGGTTATTCTAGGTTCTATGCTTTTTCACATGAGTTTTAGAATTGGCCTTTAAACTTCAATAAAAATTCTACTGGGATTTTTTATTGGGACTGCATTGAATTTGAAGAACAATTTATGAAGAACAGGTATCTTAACAATATTAAGTTTTTAAATCTACAAATGTGAAATATTCTTCCACTTATATGTCATCTTTAGTTTTTGTTAGTGACCAACCATTTTATAATTTTCTTTCTTTTTTTTTTAAATTGAGACAGAGTCTCAAGCTATCCTGGGTAGACTGCCTTGGAATCACAGCTCACAGCTCTCAATCTCAAATTCTTAGGTTTAAGCAATTCTCTTCCCTCAGTCTCCCAAGCAGCTGGGACTACAGGTGCCAGTCACAATGCCCAGCTGTTTTTTTGTTGTTGTTGCAGTTGTCATTGTTGTTTAGCTGGCCCGGGCCAGGATCGAACCTACTAGCCTCAGTGTATATGGCCGGCACCCTACCCACTGAGTAACGGGCGCTGCTGCACTTTAGAATTTTCAGTGTATATGATGACTTGCACAGATTTTAATTAAGGGTATAGATAAATATTTTTTATTTTTCGATGCAACTTTTTTTTTTTTTTTTAAGACAGGATCTTGCTCTGTCACCTGGGCTAGAGTGCAGTGGAGCAATCAGCTCATTGTAACTCAACTTCTGGGCTCAAGCAATCCTCCTACCTTAGAAGGTAGGACTACTGGTGTGTACCACTACACCTAGCTAATTTTTTTATTTTCTGTAGAGAAGGGAGCTCACTATATTGCCTAGGTTGGTTTTTAACTCCTGGCCTCAAAGCAATCCTTCTGCCTTGGTCTCCCAAAATGCTCAGATTATAGGTTTGAGCCACAGCAGCTGGCTTGCATTTTGGTATACCTGTTTTATCTGTTATTTTATTTATTTATTTATTTAAAGACAGTGTTTCACTATGCTGCCCTTGGTAGAGTGCTATAGTGTCACAGCTCACAGCAACCTCAAACTCTTGGGCTTAAGTGATTTTCTTGTCTCAGCCTACGAAGTGTCTGGGACTACAGTACCCACCACAATGCCCAGCTATTTTTTTTTTTTTTTTGTAGTTATCATTGTTGTTCAGCAGGCCCAGGCCGGATTCAAACCCCCAGTCTCGGTGTATGTAGCCAGCGCCCTAACGGCTGAGCTATATAGGTGCTGAGCCAGCTGCTTTGGTTTTTAAAAAAATATTTTTTAAGAATATAAAAATATACCATCTTTTTGTAGTTCATAAGCATGACAACTGGGTTTTCATGTGCATGCATGAGATGTGCCTCCAACAAATCTTGTTACAATGTCGGCACCTTACCATGTGACATATGAAACAATAAAAAAAGAATATAAAAATATGGCTTGGTGCCTGTAGCTCAGGGAGTAGGCACTCTCCAGAGGGTGACATAGTGAGACTGTTTCAAAAAAAAAGAATATAAAAATGTATCTTTATTTTACAGTAGAGAGAGGGAAACGGGAGAGAGATAAGAGAGAGAAAAAGATGGCAGAGCAAGGATATGGCATGGCATCCCAAAGAAAGAAAGAAAGGAAGAATAGCCTGGTTTGAAAAATCTGTATCTTTCTTGATTTATCTTATATTTAAAATTTGTGTTTTTGAAGTTACTAAAACACGTGGCAATTAGAACATTAACAATTGATTATTTGATGATTTTAAGATATTAAGGTTCTAAAGGAGTGATGCACTTATAAAGATCTTTTATCTCTTTTTTTTTTGCAGTTTTTGGCTGGGGCTGGGTTTGAACCCACCATCTCTGGCATATGAGGCTGGCACCCTACTCCCTTGAGCCACAGACACCACCTTTTTTTTTTTTTTTGAGACAGAGTCTCACTCAGTAGCCCTCAAACTCTTGAGGGATTGAGTAGCCCTCAAACTCTTGGGCTCAAGCAATTCTCTTGCCTCAGCCTCCCTAGTAGCTGGGACTACAGGTCCTTGCTACAACACCCACCTATTTTCAGAGATGAGGGCCTAGCTATTACTCAGGCTGGTCTTGAATTGTGAGCTCAAGTGATCTGCCCACCTTGGCCTCCCAGAGTTGGATAAGCCCACCTTATCCCAGAGGGATAAGCCACCATGCTCAGCCTAAGACCTTTATCTTTAAAATACGGATTAAATAATATAATGTGTAAAACTCTTTTTCAAATTGATATAAAAAGAGAGTGGGTAAGTGGGTAGGATTACAGATAAAACACTCGCCATAAACTGATAATAGCTGAAGTTGGGTGGTGGGTTCATTATAATATGTCTGCTTCTACACATGTTTGAAAATTTCATATAAAAACAAAAGTCAACAGAAGTAATTTCCTTTTCTGTGGTTAGGGTTACTTGGAATCCAACTTGAATTCATTTGTTTTGTTTTCAAGATTTAGGAACTGCTTTCATTTCTTTTTGACTCATTTTTTTTTTTTTTTTTGACAGAGCCTCAAGCTGTCCCCCTGGGTAGAGTGCTGTGGTTTCACAGCTCACAGCAACCTCCAACTCCTGGGCTTAAGCGAGTCTTCTGCCCCAGCCTCCCAAGTAGCTGGGACCACAGCACCTGCCACAATGCCTGGCTATTTTTTGGTTGCAGCTGTCATTGTTGTTAGGTGGGCCTGGGCTGGATTCGAACCCACCACCTTAGGTGTACATGGCTGGCGCCTTAGCCACTTGAGCCACAGGTGCCGAGCCTCATTTTTTGTTTTAATTATGTAAAACACATATGGCAGGCCCGGGCTGGATTTGAATCCCCCAGCTCTGGTGTACGTGGATGCTGCCCTATCTGCTGAGCTACAGGTACCCAGCCAAGATGTATGGAATATTTTATAAATATTTTGTAAAATTGTAAAACATACTTCAGAGTTCTCCCTTTCATCACTGTTCCTTGTGTGATAACTCCAGAACATTATATAGAGATTTTCCTTATTACTTTTATTTAACCAGTTCTCCACTGGTAGAATTTGGGTGGTTTCCTATCTTTTGCTATTATAAATAATGCAGTATTTGTTATTTTTTTTCTGAGACAGAGCCTCAAGCTGTCCCCCTGGGTAAAGTGCCGTAGCATCACAGCTCACAGCAACTCCAACTCCTGGGCTCAAGCAAGTCTCCTGTCTCAGGTTTCCAAGTAGCTGGGAGCACAGGCGCCCACCACAACGCCCAGCTATTTTTTGGTTGCAGCTGTCGTTGTTTGGCGAGCCGGGGCTGGATTCGAACTCGTCACCTTAAGTGTATATGGCTGGCACCTTAGCCACTTGAGCCACAAGTGTCGAGCCATGTTTGTTATTACAAAATGCCCTTGCACATATACATTATGTTTTTACCAATGTATCTCTGGGATAAAATAGATTATATAGAAAAAAGTATAAGTTATATGTTACTTTTCTTTTCTTGTTTTTGAAAACAGGGTTTCATTTTGTCACCTTTGCTAGAGTAATGTCATCATAGCTTGCTGCAACTTTAACTCCTGGCCTTGAGAGATCCTCCTGCCTCAGCCTTCCAAAATGCTAATATTATAAGCATGAGCCACTGAGCCTGGCGTATATGTTGCTTTTCTATTCTATTCTACCAATTATCAAATTTTTAATCTTTATAAGCATTCAAAGAAAACAAGAAATTGAAAGATAATTTATCTAATGTATATGTAGTGCCAGTGGTATAAAGTAACTGTGGGGGAAGGATTAATATACTGGCCCCTCAAGTTTGTCAATCTGTAATAATACTAATTGTAAAATTAATTAATAACCATAGCACTTATATTTATAAACATTTCTTTTATTAAAATTTTTTATTACATAAAAGGGAATAAAATAAACAATGTATACTCTGGGTTTTAAGTCACTTCTACTTCTCTAAATTTAAGTAATTGCAAAAATCCTATCTTTTTCATGAGTCCTTCATCAACAGGAACTCTATAAGCAACCTTTGGTCCCTTCCTTTGTAAACATGTTCCTAAATAGCTTCACTTCACCTCACAATAGGCAATATTTCCCCAAATAATATTCAAATGCTATCTGATGTTATTACCAATAACATAAGTTAAATGTTTCTTTTATATCTACATTCTATGTCTAATGTCTGTAACTGTAAGCTTCTTAAAAATGAAGGAATATGTTTAATTTTTTTTTAAATTTTTTTTGAGTCAGTCTCAATCTGTCACCCCAGCAAGAGTGCAATAATGTCATCATAGCTCACAGCAACCTCAAACTCCTTGGAACAAGCAATTCTCTGGCCTTAGCCTCCCTAGTAGCTGGGATTACAGGCTTGTACCACCACACCAGGTTTAATTTTCTGTTTTTTGTAGAGGCAGGTTCTCACTGTTGTCCAGGCTGCTCTTGAACTCCTCAGTTCAAGTGATCCTCCTGCCTCAGCCTCCATGCCTGGTTGAGCACATTTAGTGAGTTATTTTCATCTAGTAACTGTTCTTAGCACTGATTATCATAGCTGTTTAGTCCTGTGTACATTTATAGAACTACCTGTTTATTGTGTTTTGAATAACAGCTACAAGAATTATCTTGAATTATAAATAATATTAATATTTACATTAGTATTCCTACTGCATATAATATTGATTACAGTTCTTTAAAGTTTCACTTTAAATATCAGTAATAGGATTCTAAAATAAGTTTCTCATGTAGCTTTCTCCTTTTAAAGTACCTTTCTTATATAAAACGAAGATGAAATTAGCTAAATTTTCATAGCATTCTCTGGTCATAAGCTGGTAAGACCAGACACAAGGTACCATTACTTACTCTTCTAAAATATGTAATACTTACGCGTCTGTAGTCTTTGTACATCCATTTAGATTCAGCACTTCAATGTTCCTACAGTTCTGTGCAAAGGTCCTTCATAGGAAAAAATGAAATAAAAGGTTTCAAATGAATTTCAGACATTAAAAACATACGTATTATTGGTAATACTGGTTGTTGTTACCTACGATACTATAAGAAGAAACCTGTATTTGGTCTTTGTCCCTAGCTCCTGACACAGAGCTTCTAAATACCCTGATTTCCTAAGAGATAGGAGTAATAGTAACTATTGCTATAATATTTGGTCTTCAATCATGCCTACATAATGGAATCACTGTAGAAACCACTAAATGGCAAGTATCACAGAGCTACTGTGCTGGTGAATGCAACCACATGCCAGGAGGCTGGCATATCCCAATTTGAGGGGGACAGAAGTTCCCATGCTGAGAGCCTTGGAGACCTTGTGCTATGTACCTGTTCATTTGTTTTTGTTTTATTTATTATTATTTTTGGAGACAGAGTCTCACTTTATCACCCTTGGTAGAGTGCCGTGGCGTCACAGCTCATAGCAACCTCCAACTCCTGGATTTAGGCAATTCTCTTGCCTCACCCTAACTGAGTAGCTGGGACTACAAGTGCCTGCCACAGCGCCCAGCTATTTTTTGTTGCAGTTTGGCTGGGGCCAGGTTCAAACCCGCCATCCTCAGTATATGGGGTTGGCGCCCTACTCACTGAGCCACAGGCACCAACCTTATGTGTTCATTTGTAACCTTTATATTACTAATAGTATCACTGTACAAAAAGGTACATTCTACCAAAACATCAAATCTGAGACAATCAATCACAAGTAAATGACAATGTGGGACTTAATGACTTATATCTGAAATAAGGGCAACACTGTAAGACTGAGTGAGCCCTTAGCCTGCAGAATCTGAGCTAACTCTCAGTACTTGGAGTTGCAATTGAATTCAATTACAGAACACAGTTGGTATCCAGAGAATGGGAGAACTAGTCTTTAGGTGAAGGAAACAATCCACATCTGGTGGCAGCAGTGCTACAAGTAAGAATGATTCTGGTGGCTAGGCACAGTGGGTCATGCCTGTATTCCTAGCATTCTGGGAGGCTGAGGCAGGTGGATTGCCTGAGCTCACAGTTTTGAGACCAGTCTAAGCCAGAGGGAGACCTTGTCTCTAGAAGTAGCTGGGCATTATGGTGGGCATCTATAGTCCCATCTACTTGGGAGGCTGAGGCAAGAGAATCGGTTGAGCCCAAGAGTTTGAGGTTGCTGTGATGCCATGGCACTCTACCAAACATGTCACGAAAATTTTGCTCTTCAGTAGGTCTTTGATCTTGGGGATTCAAGGAATGAACCCAAGGACCACAGATCAGTGGCAAGACAGGATTTTATTTAGAAATTAGAAAAGAATATAGACGAAGAAAAAGGCACCAGAGCTTCTGGCAGAGGGTGACAAGTGAGACTCTGTCTCAAAAAAAAAGGGTGTGAAGGACCCAATGTAGTTCATAATTCAAATAAATTAATTTTCATTTTTAACCAAAGGAACCATTTTTTATTCAAGGAACCAAAAGAACCACTTATAATAGGAAATCTGGCATTTTGGGGGGAGAACAATCTTAGTGCTGAGATTATGTGTACCACCATACTGAGACTTGTGTTTGTAGTTTTTATACCTCAGGAACTGAAAAACTATTTAAGCCTTTTCTGTGTGAGATGGTACAGCTCCTTATTTCAATCAAGAAGATTAATCAACAGTTACTGTGCTTTTACCTTAATGCATTGTCTCCTACTCCAAGACACCCACGAAGACTTAACTTTCGTAAAAAGCCTCCACATCGTTTTGAAATATTCTCCACTACCCTGCCCTGAAAAGAAGAAATAGGTAAACAAAAAGATAACCCACCTCATTGCTTTTGAAAAGACTACATTACCATTTTTAGCAATTTATAAAACAAAAGAGAAAAGTTTCTACTAACTTCTAATTAATAGGAAAATTTCAACTTACTCTGAGAAAGATTTCCTGATTAATCTATCTTCGTGAAATACACATAAACTCACATTATATTCAATTTGTAAGCAATACTATATTTGAGAAAATGGTACTCTATAAGTTCTCTTATGGCCCTACATATATTCATAAACACTGCTCACCTTGGTTAAACACCAGCTATGGCAGCATAATAACTATATTTATTTATGTATCCTTTCCAAAGTATTTATTATTACAGTACTCTGCACATAGCAGAGATTCAATAAATCTTTAACAAAAGCTAGCTGAATAATCCTGTGTGTTATGTTGCTTTAAACATTTATGACCATGAAAATTAGAGAATAGTGAAAAATAAAATTCAGTATAATGCCAATGAGTATATTATTATTATTTGTTTTTTGCAGTTTTTGTCCGGGGCTGGGTTTGAACCCGCCACCTCTGGCATATGTGGCCGGTGCCCTACTCCTTTGAGCCACAGGTGCTGCCCGAGTATATTATTTTTAAAAGCACTTTCTGAAGATAATGGAAGGTTCATGTTTAACTTTTGAAAACTTACATGGATCCTCAAGAGAATTTAGTTCAACTGGAACTCTAAAACATTCTCATTTAATCCTTATAACATATGAGGAAGCTATTATTTTCATCCTCTGCTAAGAAAGCTAAGGACCACAGAGTTCGAATTCAGGAGAAAATAATTAAAGCTTAAGCCATTATTCTCCATTTGTGGGATAATAGGCTATACTAAGTGATAAAATACGGTGAAAAACTGAGAGGGAAAAATATATCCCTTGCTAGGAAAAAAAATTCAATTACTAACTTTGGCTTTCTTCATTTTTCATTCTCCACACAATAAACAAATATAAAATGATTTCCTTAAAATGAGCAATCACAGGTTCACACGTCCACTGCAAAACAAAAAACTTTAGTCCATCTTGGAGCCTATAGCTCAGTGGATAGGACACCAGCCACATACACCAGAGTTGGCAGGTTCAAATCCAGCCTGGGCCTACCAAACGACAGTGACAACTACAACCAAAAAATAGCTGGGCAGGCGCCTGTACTTGGGAGGCTGAGACAAGAGAATCACTTAAGCCCGAGTTTGAGGTTGCCATGAGCTGGTGCCACGGCATTGTACCCAGGGCAACAGCTTGAGACTCCATCTCAAAAAAAAAAAAAAAAAAAAAGAAAAACCAAAATAAAAAAACTTTTAGTCCAACACCAGGACTAGATGGTCCTATTCAGCCCAATTAATACTAAAGAATTAGTATTATTCCGATTCTAGTTTCTAACTCCAAAATGAGGTGGAAGTTCAGCTGATGAAATAATTTAGCTTAGTCTCAAAAACTGAACTTCGGTGGCTCCCATTAAGTTCATATGTAATGAAAATAATAGCTTCTCTCTCTAGGGAAAATGAGATTAATAATTTCTAGGGCTAATCTGTTCCATACTGTAACAGGAGAAATGGGGCCATACGCCATATAATTATACCTCAATATCCCTCTGGAAATCAAACAGGTCAATTCGCTGCCAGTTACTGCCATCCAGAGCCAGAACATTCCAGGCCTATTTTAAAGAAAAAGAGAGAATAAGTGGATGCTGAAATCACGGGGAAAAGCCAATATTCAAGTTCATAATTCAACCAACTAATGACTGAAATGGACCAAAAAATTTCCATAAATGAGTGGGTACAGAAACTGGTAGCTATGAAAGATCTTAAATTATTGCTGTGGCAGCTGTAGTACAGTGGTTACAATGCTGGCCACATACACCTAGGCTGGAGGGTTCGAACTCAGCCCAGGCCAGCTAAGCAACAATGACAACTCCAACAAAAAAATAGCCGGGCATTGTGGTGGGTGCCTGTAGTCCCAGCTACTCAGGAGGCTGAGGCAAGAGAATGACCTAAGCCAGGAGTTGGAGGCTGCTGTGAGCTGTGTGACGCCACAGGGCTCTACCGAGAGTGATAAAGTGAGACTCTGTATCTACAAAAAAAAAAAAGTTACTGGTATTCGCACAATAGCTGATATGCAGATTTTGTATGACTTTAGGATACAGAAAATAAAGTTAGCAAGACAAGGTGATTTTCTGTATTATAATTCCCTATTTTCTTTCTTTCTTTCTTTCTTTTTTTTTTGAGACAGAGCCTCAAGCTGTTCCCCTAGTTGGAGTGCTGTGGCATCACAGCTCACAGCAACCTCCAACTCCTGGGCTCAAGTGAGTCTCCTGCCTCAGCCTCCCAAGTAGCTGGGACCACAGGCGCACGCCACAAGGCCCAGCTATTTTTTGGTTGCAGCTGTCATTATTGTTTGGCGGGCCTGGGCTGGATTTGAACTTGCCACCTTAGGTGTATGTGGCTGGTGCTTCAGCCACTTCAGCCACAGGCACCGAGCCTCTTTCTTTTTTTTTTTTTTTTTTTTGAGACAGAGTTTCACTATGCTCCCCCCAGAAGAGCACTGGGCATTCACAGCTCACAGCAACCTCAAACTCTTGGGCTTAAGAGATTCTCTTGCCTCAGCCTCTAAAGTAGCTGGGATTATAGGCACCCAGCACAACGCCTGGCTATTTTTTTATCGTAGTTGTCGTTGTTTTGGCAGGCCCGGGCTGGATTTGAACCCGCCAGCTCAGGTGTATGTGGCTGGCACCCTAGCTGCTGAGCTACAGGTGCTGAGCCATGTTTCCCTTTTTTTAAGTGTGGTGATTTAAAGTGACATTTGGGGTGGCACCTGTAGCTAAGCAGCTGGACACCAGCCACATACACCAGGGCTGGCAGGTTTGAATCTGGCATGGGCCTGCCAAACAAGGACAACTACAATGCCCCCCCCCCCACCAAAACATAGCCAGGCATTGCAGGGGGCACCTGTAGTCTCAGCTACTTGGGAAGTTGAGACAAGAGAATCGCTTAAGCCCAGGAGTTTGAGGTTGCTGTGAGCTGTGACAGCACAGTGCTCTACCCAGGGTGATAGCTTGAGGCTCTGTCTCAAAAAAAACTAAAGTGACATATGGGTCCACCTATGCAGATAAATATAATACTTTGGATAAAAACATATTACATACCCAGCATCTAGGACCAAATTTGGTATGCAGTAGGTTCTTAATAAATATCTGTTAAATAAATGAACAAACAAAAAGCCAATGATGGATTCATAAAAAGATGACACTTGGGCTCAATGCCTGTAGCTCAGTGGTTAGTGCGCCAGCCACATACCCCGAGGCAGGCAGGTCTGAACCTGGCTCAGGCCTACAAAAGAACAATGATGACAACTACAACAAAAAATAGCTGGGCATTGTGAAGGGCGTCTATAGTCCCAGCTATGTGGGAAGCTGAGGCAAGAGAATCTCTTAAACCCAAGAGTTGGAGGTTGCTGTGAGCTGTGATGCCACAGCACTCTACTGAGGGCGACATAGTGAGACTCTGTCTCTAAAAAAAGGCGACGCCTGGGGTTCAGTGGGTAGGGGGCCAGCCCCATATACTTTCGCTGCAACGAAAAATAGCTGGGCATGAGCAGTGCCTGTGGCTTAAGGACTAGGGCGCCAGTCCCGTATTACCAGGGGTGGTGGGTTCAAGCCTGGCCCGGCCAAAACTGAAAAGAAAAAAAAAAAAAAACAGCCAGGTGCTGTGGCAGGTGCCTGTAGTCCCAGCTACTCAGGAGGCTGAGGCAAGAGAATTGCCTAAGCCCTGGAGTTGGAGGTTGCTGTGAGCTGTGATGCCACAGCATTCTACCCAGGGCGATAAAGTGAAACTCTGTCTCTTAAAAAAAAAAAGAAAGAAAGATGACAATTGTAGGTATTAATTAATTTACTGAGACAGAGTTTCACTCTGTCACCCTGGGTAGAGTGCCCATGGCATCATCATAACCCACAGCAACCTCAAAATCTTGGGCTCGGCACCTATGGCTCAAGTGACTAAGGCACCAGCAACATACACCTAAGGTGGTGGGTTCGAATCCAGCCCAGGCCCACCAAACAACAATGGCTGCAACCAAAAAATAGCTGGGCGTTGTGGCAGGCGCTTGTAGTCCCAGCTACTTGGGAGGCTGAGGCAGGAGACTCATTTAAGCCCAGGAGTTGGAGGTTGCTGTGAGCTGTGATACCACAGCACTCCACCCATGGGGACAGCTTGAGGCTCTGTCTAAAAAAAAACAAAAAACAAAAAAACTCTTGGGCTCAAGAGATCCTCCTGCCTCAGCCTCCAGAGCTGGGACTACAGGCCCCTGCCACATGCCTTGCTTTTTTTCTGTAGTAGAGACAGGATTTCACTCTTATGTGGGCTCCTCTCAAACTCCTGAGCTCAATCAATCCACCCACCTCAGCCTCCCAGAGTGCTACGATCACAGGTGTTAGCCACTGTGCCCGGCTGGTAGTCATCATTTTAGTAAATTATTATATATCTGTATTAAAAAAGAGATTAGAAATGATTCATAAAGCAATTTTCCTACACCAGATATTCTACCCTTTATACTGCCAGTAAGACTATGATGCTTTATCATTTTGTCAAAGCAATGTCAACTGACAAAAATGGATTTTTTTCTTTTTTTTTTTAAAGACAAAGTGACTCTCCCACTTCAGCCTCCCAAGTAGCAAGGATTAGAGGCATGCACCACCAAGCCCAGCTAAATTTTTAAAAACTTTTTGTAGTGATCCTCCTGCCGCTGCCTTCCAAAGCCTTGGAATTACAGGCCTGAACTACCTCTCCTGGTCTAAAAATGGATAGTTAGTGTAACTCTCTTTGGAAATGGGGTTTGGTTTATCCTGCAACTTTTTTTTTTTTTAATTCTTGCTATCATCCTTTAAAGAAAGTATAGGAAAATAACATGAGAATTACATTATCAAAAGCTGGCTGGGCCCAGTGGTACACAACTATAATCAGAGCACTCTAGGAGGCCAAGGCTGGAGGATTCCTTGAGCTCAGGAGTTTGAGATCAGCCTGAGTGAGAGCAAGACTCTGTCTCTACTTAAAATAGAAAAACGAGTCAAAACTAGAAAAATTAGGCTCGGCGCCTGTGGCTCAAGGGCTAAGGCGCCAGCCACATACACCTAAGGTGGCAGGTGTTGTGGCAGGCACCTGTGGTCCCAGCTACTTGGGAGGCTGAGGCAGGAGACTTGCTTGAGCCCAGGAGTTGGAGGTTGCGGTGAACTGTGATGTCACAGGGGGACAGATTGAGGCTCTGTCACAAAGAAAAACAAAAAACTAGAAAAATTAGCTGGGTGTTGTGGCAGGTGCTTGTAGTCCCAGCTGTTTGGGAGCTGAAGCAGGAGGATCACTTAAGCCTAGGAGTTTGAGGTTGCTCCGAGATAGGTTAACATAGCACTCTGGCCTTGGCAAGAGACTGAGACTCTGCCTCAAAAAAATAAAATGAAATATGTAAAATATACTAGGAAAACGTAAGGAAACATAATTTCATTACAATTTTGAGTTAAGTGTACCTGATTAATATGCATGTTAAATGCTTTCTCATTGAAAATGTTTCCTGTTCATATTTTGTAATTAAGTTATAAAAAGTTAAAGACAGCACATGTAGTAGAATCCCATCACATAATAATTAGATGGTTTTGGATATGCCACGGGTGAAATCCTTTAAAACAGGATAGCATAAAAGTACCACCTGAAATAAATGGTGAGCCTACTAAAGAGACTGTCATCAGCGCAAAGAAAAGGTCCCCTGTACCATGTAAACCATTCTTACCCTGGAGACCTGAGCACAGCGACACAAGGTAACGACATCCAAAAAAGAAAATATCCTATAAGGAAAAGAAAGGGAGAGAATCTTATTGTACAATAGTTTCCCTTGACTGGCCTATGAATAAGGATGCACACAGTACACACACACACACACACACACATATCACGCACACCCCCCAGAACTTCTTTCGAACACAAAAGGATGGAGCAATTTGCAAAGATAATTACTGTCCAAATAAAACACAGAGAAAGTAGTGTTTTAATTGATAATATACATTTAAACGAAGTAGAAGTTCAATTACTTGCATCAAGAGATGACAAATGATTTCTAACTGATACAATTTTGGGGAAGTGAGAAAACCATTTTCCCACTTCTAGATATCAAAAGAAATAGGCTAGGGGTGAGATATCCTTAGAAAGAATTTTACAGTTTTAAAGAAAAGAGGACAAAATAATTTCATAAAATCTAAAATACAGCAACTATAAAATGTGAAATCTCTGTATGTATCTAATTCTAATTTAGTAAATTATAAGACTCCTAACGTATGTTAGAAAATATTTACTGCCTAGAATTTTCCCCAGCCTTACAGAGGATTAATACTTATTTTGAAGTAGATCAATAATTTATCTACTTAAATTTATCAGCTTGAAGTCTGATAAATTGTACCATAAGCTAGCTGTACAAATAGGTCAGGGAATCCTCGGATTGAAGTGAAAAGAGTGGTTTATTCTTGAAATAGTCTTCACTTATAAACACCCTAAAAGTCATCTTCATCTGAATGACAATTAGTATTAGGCTCTTCTGCAAGTGATAAAAGTACAACATAGGATGTGTTTTAAAGATGTAAGTCAATTAAAAGTTTATTAAGAATTTTATGGCCTGACATGGTGACCTGTAATCCTAGTACTCTGGGAGATGGAGGCAGGTGGATTGCTTGAGATCAGGAGTTCCAGACCTATCTGAGCAAAAGTGAGACCTTGACTCTACTAAAAGTAGAAAAAACAGCCGGGTATCATGGTTGGCACCTGTAGTTCCAGCTTCTCAGGAGGCTGAGGCAAGAGCTCAGGAGATTGAGACTGCTATTAGCTATAATGATGGCAAGGCACTCCATTCTACTCAGGGTGACAGAATGGGACTATGTCTCAAAAAAAAAATTATGATATTCCTTGAGATACCTGGACTGTTAAAAATCCAGGAAACAACAGTTTGGAATAGGGCTAGAATTTCTTTTTTCTTTTTTTTTTTTTTTGAGACAGAGCCTGAAGCTGTCCCCCTGGGTAGAGTGCCGTGGCATTACAGCTCACAGCAACCTCCAACTCCTGGGCTCAAG